ACCGAAATAAATAACCACAATGCGAACAACCCGCTTTCCGTTCCATGAAACCGTTTTCATTCTGCACCATTTTGATGCTCTCTTCTATATAGGATCTTATGTACGTGTACTGATTGACCCGATACTGTATCCCAATCTACACATGAACCCATCTCGTTTTGACCACTTAGGTGCTTTCCTATTCATTTAGTCTATGATTGAAAACGGTCTTATCTTGCGTAGTTTTACCCATTGTACACTGACGTATTTATAGTGTATAATTTAAATTGTATTGCCATGTTTGACGAGCTGTTTTTTAAATGTAATTTCCATTTTCGATTGAAGACGTTCTCGTCAGTTGTCGCAATACATTTTCGAACGAAATCCATCAATCTACCATCCGAAGTACACAGCACGACAGCGAACCTGCCTTACAGTTAATCCGGGTTAACAAGCATCGATGACAGCAACAAAATAGAATACTCAGTACCATTCAATTACAGCTGGCGGGTATTTCAACCCCGTTTACATAGGTCTCCTCGCACAGTGCAAGCTGTTCCTAGTCAAAAGTTCATTAATCCGTATTCAACTTATTTGTGCCTTCCGGGGACTCGTCAAAAAGATATCAGTTCAATTGAATGAACATATTCGGGATCTTTTCTTTAGAAGATTAACATGTACGAAAAACGGTTTTCATACCTCGGGTGAACTGAATTCCATTTTGCCTGTTCGCCGAGCCTGAGCGCTTTGATTGTAAACATTTCAGCACCAGTCGAGGCGATATCTTCAGTGCTTGTGACAATGTCACCTCGGCTGGTGATGAAACGTTTGCAAACAAACTGGCAAGCTTCGCGATCAGGCGAAATGGAATTAACAGATCCCTTGATAATAAATGAATTTCTAACCGTAGTATTCTCGGATAGTGTAAAATCACCAAATTTATGGCGATGAAATAAATGGGACCTTTGTTTAATAAATGTGAGCTTTGCAGACTGCAAACGGAAAAAAGTTTCTAAATTTAGCCATAAGTGAATAATTATTTTGTAGCCTCGTAGTTCAAGCTCATTTCCAATAAACACGTAAAAGGCGTTCATTTTCAAAATTCAATCAATGTCAATTCAGTCTATCTGGTTTCATCGCTGTTCATTTTAAACTCTATACGAGATCCTTACTGTATGGGAACTGAGTCTGTGATACTTTTTCTTTACTTCACTTCACTGCACTGATAAGAAATTGTAGCTTTAGTAACAAATACAGACACATGGTGATAAAATTGACAGGATAGAATATATTTATGGATCAGTCATGTTATGACGCATGGTTGCGTAAATAAATCTGACATACACGTGGGTATCTCATTATAAAACTACTAATGCAAAAAGTTGATACTCATTAGCATTTATTGAGCAGACCTGTTTGAAAATCAACTGGGACTATTTCTTATGTTTCTATTTTGATAAAAACATATTAGTTTCCGAAACTATGTCATCTTCGTTTAAAGTACTCTTTTGCGATAAGACATCCGTTTAGTTCTTTCTTATTTCGGTAATGTTGACGTAATTAAAATAAATTCGAAAAATTTGGGGGCTCTTCGATAATCTAACCAGAAACTGACTTCATTGCCTCTCTCGCAGGTGCCCATTAGGGTGGACCTGCTTCGAGCGGAATGATAGTCACCAATTTCGGACACGAAAGCGGTTACAACTTCTTACTCTTGATTCACCTGTGGACGAAGATCTGTGTGCGTGTGTGTTTGTCTGTCTAACTTCACACGTGCACCTAGACGCGCTCGTGTGTGCAAACCTAGATACCGAAAATGTTGGCGTAAGTATCAACCCTTGTGATTCACTAGCTTTTTCATGTGCCCGTCTGACGCCCGATGCCGATTCGAACAGACGGGCTGATTTGTCTCGGTTTTTGTCTGAGACACTACCGAAGAGCCAATTTACGGAGAGGCTTGATTGTGGCAACTTGAGAAGGCATCGGATTGTTTGACTCCACGAGTCACCTAATCACTCTGCACGTCATACGCACAGGTTCATGTGCTCATACATACAC